TCATCTATCTATCTATCTATCTATCTATCTATCTATCTATCTATCTATCTATCTATCTATCTATCTATCTATATCATCTATCTATATCTATATATCATCTATCTATCTATATCTATCTCTATCTATCTATATCATCTATCTACTGTATATCTATCTATATCATCTATCTATCTATCTCTCTATCTATCTATCTATCTATCTATCTATCTATCTATCCATCCATCCATCCATCCATCCATCCATCCATCCATCCATCCATCCATCCATCCATCCATCTATCTATCTATCTATCTATCTATCTATCTATCTATCTATCTATCTATCTATCATCTATTGTAACATTCTTAACTGACCCCCAATTCCTTTGCTATTAAAACACCACCTATTTCAAAGTTTAAGGCTAACAAAGCAATTGAAATGTGTTGAAAAGCAAGATCTTACCTATATTTCATGGTGGAATTTGAGAGCGAAGCTGAGATCAGTTTGAGTAGACAATGTGGCTTATTTAACTCTGTCCCAGTTGCTCATTTATGTGTCTCCGGCTCAATTCATTACAGGAACTTTAGCGGATAAATGCTTTGTCTTGCAAGGTCATTAAATGGAGAGGCTCATCAAAAGAATTTCAAGTTTTTTTTAATTACTGTAACAACCACAAAGTTGCATAAATCCGAAAGACATTCTTAGTCTTTATCCTGGTGTGGAATCGATGATTACAAATATTACAATTTGTTATCGGGGAAACGGTAGCAGCTAAGAGGATTTTTCCACCAACACACACACTGAGAAAGAGTACAACTCAAATTCCACAATTATCAATTAATTACGGGATAATGCTTCCGGTCCAGCTCTTTTTTTTCTTACTTTAAAATGGAAGGCACCGCTTCGTTGTTGTTGTTGTGTTGGAATGGAGGAACACAAATCCCTCCAAAATTATAATTAAACCATCAGAGAAGCATAGAAAAGAGAGCGGCGTTTTGGAATTAACTTATGCCTTTGTTGTGCTGTTTGACATTAAAGACAAGATTTATAGCCTTTAAGCCCCGCAGTGTTTCTCCACCTTGACAATTTTAAGGCATGTGGACTTCAACTCCCAGAATTCCACAGCCAGCAAATGCTGGCTGTGGAATTCTGGGAGTTGGAAGTCCACATGCCTTAAAATTGTCAAGGTGGAGAAACACTGCAAGGGAATACCAGCCTGTTTGGTATTATTGCAAAGGTCCCATTTTGCAAATGTACCTTTTTGGAAATGTGCCTCGTTTTGGAACTTCTGTTGAGATAAAACACGTAATCCGTATAATTTGGGGGTCTGTGTGTGTGTGTGTGTGTGTGTGTGTGTGTGTGTATCCAGTGTCAGTACTTGACCACCTCTATTACTGTATTCCAGAACCCTCAATATACACTGTAGTATCCTCAATGTAAGCCCAAAGTTTCCATTGCTGACGGAGACAGCTGTTAAGGGAATTTTGCTCCTTTTTACGACTTTTAGTAGGCGGTTAAGCAAAATTGGCTTCCTGCATTGACTTTGCTCGTCAGAAAGTCGCAAAAGGGGAATCACGTGATTCCGGGACGCTGCGACCGTCGTAAATATGAATCAGTTGCCAGTTGATCACCTGACCCTGGGGCTGATGCAACGGTTGTCAGTGTGGTTAGAATGCGGTACTGCAGGCTAATTCTGATGACTGCCCAAAGTAATATTCTGTAAGTCATGCGCCCTGGTGGCGCGGTGGTTAGAATGCGGTACTGCAGGCCACTTCGGCAGTTCGATCCTGACCGGCTCAAGGTTGACTCAGCCTTCCGTCCTTCCAAGGTCAGTAAAATGAGGACCCAAATTGTTGGGGGGCAACAGGCTGACTCTATAAACTGCTTAGAGAGGGTTTTGTAAAGCCCTGTGAAACGGTATATATAAGTGCTATCGTTATAAGTTACTTTTTTCAGCGGCTTCGTAATTTCAAACGGTCAATAAACGAACGGTTGGAAATCGAGGGCTACCCGTACTCAAACGCTGAAAAGGTACAATGTTCACTTGACTTGATATTTACAACAAGGTGGATCTTCTCGATATATCAGAACAGAAATGTGAAACTCAAATCAATCAGAGGAAGGGACCTTGGAGGTCATCTAGTCCAACCCCCTGCTCAGGCAGGAAACCCTATACCATTTCGGACAAATGGCTGTCCAGTCTCTTCTTAAAAACTTCCAGTGTTGGCGCATTCACCGCTTCTGGAGGCAAGGAGTTCCACTGGTCAATTGTTCTAACTGTCAGGAAGTTTCTCCTTAGTTCTAGGTTGCTTCTCTCCTTGATTAGTTTCCATCCGTTGTTTCTTGTCCTGCCTTCAGGCGCTTTGGAGAATAGCTTGACTCCCTCTTCTTTATGGCAGCCCTGAGATACTGTAAGGCTGCTATCATGTCCCCCCCCCCATTCTTCTTTTCTCTAGACTAGCCATACCCACTTCCTGCCACCGTTCTTTATATGTTTTAGTCTCCAGGTCTTTAATTATCTTAATTGCTCTTCTTGGCATTTTTTTCCAAAGTCTCAACATCTTTTTTGTGATCTCAGAGAAAAATACACAGACTTGTCATAAAAATGTACATTCCTCTAAACCAGTGGTTCTCAACCTTTTTATATGGCGACCCCGGTCATAAGCAGGCGGCGCACATGCGCGGCGCTGCCCCCTGCGTGGCACGCATGCGCGGCGCAACCCTGTGCGGCGTGCATGCGCGGGGCTGCCCCTGTGCGGTGCGCATGCGCTGCGCCTGCGCCGCCCCCTGCGTGGCGTGCATGCGCGGCGGCGCCCCATGCGCCACCCCCTGTGCGGCATGCATGCGCAGCGGCGCCCCATGCGCCGGCTGACGAAAAAAATGGCGGATCGCATTGTTTGGCGACCCCCGTGAAATGGTCGTTCGACCCCAAATGGAGTCGCGACCCATAGGTGGAGAACCGCTGCTCTAAACAAATTAGCGGTGGATCACAATCACGTGTTCCTTCAGTTGTAAAAGAGGGAGAAACGGAGCACCCCAAACTCTCACTTAGAGAAATGACACTTAACTTGCACAGAGGACGCTCTGTGAAACTGGGCGCAACCGGGCGCGAGTAATAGTAGCATGGGAAGAGTATCACTAGTAACAGTTACGACATGCTCCCCCAAAATTGACAGATCTAACACGATTTAATTTTAAACCAATATGCCACGTCGCTTCTGGGTATCCTTATTGTTTCAAGATCAGCTGTCCTGTGGATAAAGGCAGTCCTCAACTTATGACCGCAACGGAGCCCAAAATTTATGTTGCTAAGCAAGACAGTGGTTGAGTGAGCTTTGCTCCGATTTACGCCCTTTAGGGACACAGTTGTTAAATGGACAACTGCAATTGTTAAGTTGACTTCCTCATTGGCTTTGCTTGTTGAGACGGTCGCCAAAGGGAATCACATGACCCTGGGGCACTGCGACCGTCATAAACATGAGTCAGTTGCCAAGGATCTGATTTTTTTTATCATGTGACCGGCGAGGGGCTGTAACGGTCATAAGTGTGAAAACAGTAGTAAGTCACCTTTTTTCTGTGCCGTTATAACTTCACTAAACAAACTGTTGTTACGTTGAGGACTATTTGCATTGTGCTATAGACAAAAAGGCATTTGAGGCGCCCTATAGTCATTATACAGTTTTCACTTCTACCCAAAGCAATGTTTTGACACAAAAAGAGTGCACACCACCACACCAAACAACAGCAAAGTAAGCACTCTGCAGGGTGAGCTTTGACAACGCACAAATTTGGTTGATGTTGCCCTATTCCTATTCTTTCTTTTTGCATTAAGCCTGAGCGAACCCTCCTGGCAAATAGATGGGGAAGAAATGGAGGTAGTGACAGATTATATCTTCCTGGGCTCCAAGATCACCTCAGATGGGGACTGCAGCCAAGAAATTAAAAGACGCTCCTGGGGAGGAAAGCTATGGCAAATCTAGACAGCATACTAAAAAGCAGAGACATCACCCTGCCAACAAAAGTGCGCATAGTCAAGGCCATGGTTTTCCCAGTTGCGATGTAGGGCTGTGAAAGTGGGACCATAAGAAAGGCTGAGCGCCAAAGAATGGAGGCCTTTGAACTCTGGGGCTGGAGAAGACTCCTGAGAGTCCCCTGGACTGCAAGGCGATCCAACCAGTCAGTCCTGGAGGAGATCAACCCCGACTGCCCTTTAGAAGGCCAGATCCTGAAGTTGAAACTCAAGTACTTTGGCCACCTAATGAGAAGGAAGGACTCACTGGAGAAGGGCCTAATGCTGGGAAAGATTGAGGGCAATAGAAGAAGGGGACGACGAAGAATGAGATGGCTGGATGGAGTCACTGAAGCAATAGGTGTGAACTTAAATGGACTCCAGAAGATGGTAGAGGACAGGAAGACCTGGAGGAACATTGTCCATGGGGTCACGATGGGTTGGACACGACTTCGCATTTAACAACAACAACCCTCTCAATTCCTGGCAAATAGATGGGGAAGAAATGGAGGTAGTGACAGATTATATCTTCCAGGGCTCCAAGATCACCACAGATGGGGACCGCAGCCAAGAAATTAAAAGATGCTCGCTCCTGGGGAGGAAAGCTATGGCAAATCTAGACAGCATACTAAAAAGCAGAGACGTCACCCTGCCAACAAAAGTGCGTATAGTCAAGGCCATGATTTTCCCAGTTGCAATGGATGGCTGTGAAAGTTGGACCATAAGAAAGGCTGAGCGCCAAAGAATGGAGGCCTTTGAACTATGGTGCTGGAGAAGACTCCTGCGAGTCCCATGGACTGCAAGGCGTTCAAACCGGTCAGTCCTAGAAGAGATCAACCCCGACTGCTCTTTAGAAGGCCAGATCCTGAAGTTGAAACTCAAGGACTTTGGCCACCTAATGAGAAGAAAGGACTCCCTGGTTTGGGTCATGAAACATCTGCAAGAAAACCACCCAGCTCAGAGAGCAGCAAGGATCCTTCAGAAGAAGCAACTTCACCGAGAGTTTCCGGAACGGTTAAGATCACGGTTAACGGTCACAGTAACGAAAATGCTTACGTTTTGGCAAGTCTCCGGTGCTGGATGCTGAAACCGTCCTGCTCCTGTCGTGGGATGGAGTGCTTCCGTCTCTTTCGGTTACGGTCGACTCTTCAGAAACCGCCAAACCACAAGCGATGGAATCTAAAGCTCCGGGGAACGCCGAAGCGGAGAATTCCGAATATTGTGATTCTGGAATGTTATGACGTCCGTTTGGCAATTCGCCATTAAATTGTTCGTAAGAGCTGCTGTAGCTGTACTCGCTTTTCGCGTCGGGCGCATCGAGGTTATATTGCTCGGCATTCGGGCCTTCTTCCTCCTCCTCCTCTTCCTCTTCCTCTTCCTCCTCAATCTGCTCTTCCAGGGAGAAAGGGCCATCTATAATGTGGCCATTGGTTTTGGGAGATTCTATCCAAGCGGGATCCGCGGACTCTGAATTGGCCAGTTCTTGTTCCAGGTCCTCGTCCTTCTCCGTGTCTTTTTCTTTTTCCGTGTCGTCTTTCTCGTCTTGGTCTTCTGTGTCTCCTGAGGGATACAAAGAATAGAATTCTTTTTTTTAAAAAAAAACCAATTTTATTGTTTTTTTTAATTTTTAGGACAAAGTGCTCAAGACACACCGTGGTGTTAGGGTAGTCAAACATCCAAAGGCAAAACATATATACGTAATTCAATCAATACATCAAGTAGTCCCTCTCTTTTTCCCTTAAGTAACATAATTTATTTAAAATAGTCCCATTCTAGCTTAAATTTATTCAACCTAGACCTGTTTTTAAAGCTTTATAAATTGACACTACCATAATCAAATTAACTTTCAGTACAAACATTATCAATTCGGGTATCCCTTCCAAATATGTTCCAGTTCCTTAATTTTATCACAAATCTTATTTATTTCTTCTTCCACTAATATCCCTTATTTAAAATGAAATATTAATCTATCCTATACGTATCTAATCCATCCATCAATCAATCTCTTTAAGCTGGCAGAATAAAATCAGACCTTAAATCATTTCCATCCATTAAACAGAATTCAAATTTCATCCAATTAATTGTCGTGACTAATAACATCCATGTTATCAAACAAACCAATCTTCTTATTAGATTAACTCCACATTACATAATGATTTTCTTACAAGTAAACCTATCGTTCTAAAACAGTGGTTCTCAGCCTTTTTTTTCTGGTGACCCCGGTCATAAGGACGTGCCGCGCATGCGCGGTGACGCCCCCATGCGCGGCACGCATACGCGGCGACACCCCCATGGGCGGCAGCGCCCATGCGCAACGTGCATGCGCAACGATGCCCCATGCGCGGCCCACATGTGCGGTGGCGGCCCATGCGTGGCGCACATGCGTGGCGGCACCCCATGCGTGGCGCACATGCGTGGCGGCACCCCATGCGTGGCGTGCATGTGCAGTGGCGCCCCATGCATGGCAGGCATGCGCGGCATGGCGCGCATGCGCGGTGCCGCCAGCTAAAAAAATGCCGGATCGCGTTGTTTGGCGACCCCCGTGAAATAGTCGTTCGACCCCAAATGGGGTCGCGACCCACAGGTTGAGAACCGCTGTTCTAAAAGAACACATAAAGAATAGAATTCTTCATTGCCCATCTGGTTGGACACACAAGGAAATTGTCTCCGGTTTGTAAGTGTACGTAGAAGTAATAGCGATCATCATGATGATAAACAACGTGAAATGCATTCATCATGAATCGTAAAATACAACACATTCATCATAAATTGTGCACTTAGTGATAGTCATAGAGCACTGGCTAAGAAAAACATAAATCATACTAGGACAGGGGTCCCCAACCCCAGTCCGTGGATCGGTACCGGGCTGCGACATGCCAGCAACCAGTCCGCACAGACGAGCAAATACTCTAGGGTCTGTAAATTGTTGCACACATTATGTACACAGTTAGTCAACAGTCATCTTGAATTGCGTCCCAACCTTAATTCAATCAATCAGAATAGAGCTGGAAGGGGCGTTGGAGGTCTTCTAGTCCAGCCCCCTGCTGAAGCCGGAGACCCTATATCATTACTAGATTACTACATTTAGTAATTGCTAACATCAAGCCGAGTAATTTGACTTTATGGAAGCTATATCTATAATTTCTTCATATTTGGTACTAAATAGTAATAGTAATAGTAGTAAAGTTGGAAGGGACCTTGGAGGTCATCTAGTCCAACCCCCTGCTCGGGCAGGAAACCCTACACCATTTCGGACAAATGGCTGTCCAGTCTCTTCTTAAAAACTTCCAGTGTTGGAGCATTTACTGCTTCTGGAGGCAAGCTGTTCCACTGATTAATTGTTCTCACTGTCAGGAAGTTTCTCCTTAGTTCTAGGTTGCTTCTCTCCTTGATGATTTTCCACCCGTTGCTTCTTGTCCTGCCTTCAGGTGCTTTGGAAAATAGCTTAATTCCCTCTTCTTTATGGCAGCCCCTGAGATATTGGAATACTGCTATCATGTCCCCCCTTGTCCTTCTCTTCGTTAAACTAGACATACCCAATTCTCGCAACCGTTCCTTATATGTTTTAGCCTCCAGTCCCCTAATCATCTTTGTTGCTCTTCTCTGTACTCTTTCTAGAGGCTCAACATCTTTTTTACATCGTGGTGACCAAAACTGGATGCAGTATTCCAAGTGTGGCCTTACCATGGCATTGAAGAGTGGTGTTAACACTTCACGTGATCTTGATTCTATCCCTCTGTTAATGCAGCCTAGCACTCTGTTGGCCTTTTTGGCAGCTGCAGCACACGGCTCAGCAGGGCAGAGACAGCCTGGACAATTCCTATTGGCTTTTGAAAGCCAATCGAATTAGACTCTATTCAAGAGAGTCTATTCTATTGGCTTTCAAAAGCCAATAGAATAAAAGGGAGTAGCACAGCTAAGGAAAAGGGGGACAAAAATGGCGGACTGCGTTGTTTGGCGACCCCCGTGAAATGGTTGTTCGACCCCCAATGGGGTCGCAACCCACAGGTGGAGAACCGTTGATTTAATGCATAATAAATAGATGGGGTTAAGAAACTAACTCACCATCTTCTTCGTTCCCAGGTTCTTCGTCTGCCACTTCCTCTAACTCTACAGTTTTTAGTTTAACTTCGGGATGGTACCCGTCCTCTTGTTTGTTGGACGGAGTAGTAGAGGTTACATTTTCTTCTGTTTTTTTCCTCTCCGCTTCTCGCTCCAGTTCCTCTATTTCCTGCAAACGTTTTTCTAGCAGCTCGGCCTGCCTCTTTTGCTTTTTTTTTAGTTTCTTCTTTTTATTTTTAGATATCTTTCCGATCTGGAAGGGGAAAACAGGAAAGAAAAAAAAAACCATCACAAATTAGTCTGGAATCACACAAGACAATTAGTTTGTTAGGTGTCGCTAATCTGCTGATGTTGCATAGATTAGTGATGGAGAGCCTATTACCCCTTCCTGTACGAAAACGCTGGAATCCTAAAAAGCTAATTTTCAGATACAAATCTCTTTTGTTTTTGTGGAATAAAAAAACAAGCTTAATATGCGACGCGGCCGTTTGCTTACCTGCTATCAACCAGCTTAAATCCATTTTTTCCAAACCATCTGCAAAAATCTGTCTGATAAAAAATACAGTCCAACAGTCAAAGCAACCTCACAATGGGAATACCGTTTGGTGTAGTTCTAGTCCAGGGGTCTTCAAACATGGCCCTTTGATGACTTGTGGACTTCAACTCCCAGAATTCCTCAGCCAGCCTCCATTTTGTTTGTTAGATTTAAGACAGGGGTCTTCAAACATGGCCCTTTGATGACTTGTGGACTTCAACTCCCAGAATTCCTCAGCCAGCCTCCATTTTGTTTGTTAGATTTAAGACAGGGGTCTTCAAACTTGGCCCTTTGGTGACTTGTGGACTTCAACTCCCAGAATTCCTCAGCCAGCCTCCATTTTGTTTGTTAGATTTAAGACAGGGGTCTTCAAACTTGGCCCTTTGATGACTTGTGGACTTCAACTCCCAGAATTCCTCAGCCAGCCTCCATTTTGTTTGTTAGATTTAAGACAGGGGTCTTCAACTTGGCCCTTTGATGACTTGTGGACTTCAACTCCCAGAATTCCTCAGCCAGCGTGCCTGGCTGAGGAATTCTGGGAGTTGAAGTCCACAAGTCATCAAAGGGCCAAGTTTGAAGACCCCTGTTCTAGTCCCACCTTAGCCATGAAAGCCAGCTGGGTGACTTTGGTATTTGTGTGTGGGGAAAATAGGAGGAAGGAGTATCGTCTGTGTTTGCCACCCTTGAGTTATTAGTAAAGCTAATAAAGGCAGGATACAAATAAAATTAACAAAGATTTATCTGTGGCCTCAAAAATAATAAAATAAAATAAAATAAAATAAATAAAATAAAATAAATAATGAAATAAAATAATAATAAAATAAAATAAAATATATAAAAAATAAATTAAAATAAAATAAAATAAAAAATAAAATCTAAACTAAACTAAAATAATAAAATAATAAAATATAAAATAAAATAAAATCTAAACTAACATAAAATAAAATCTAAACTAAACTAATAAAATAAATAAAATATAAAATAAAATCTAAACTAAACTAAAATAATAAAAGAAAATAAAGAAAACAAAATAAAATCTAAACTAAAGTAAACTAATAAAATAATATACACTAAAATAAAATCTAAACTAAAATAAAATAAAATCTAAACTAAACTAATAAAATAAAATAAAATAAAAAACTAAACTAAACTAAACTAAACAAAATCTAAACTAAACTAAAATAAAATCTAAACTAAACTAAACTAAAATAAAATAAAAACTATATTAAAATAAAGTAAGTGTGCAGTATGGGGGCATAAAAGTTATTTTTACCCCACATCGTAGAATGTCGTGTTCTGAAGCTTTTGGGTAGCTACTGCCCATTAAAACTTAATATGGAGTCTTTCCTACAAAATATACCCAGTTCCCACTCAGAGGTTAGTTTCCTGGAATGGGCCAGCTGGAATGTACCATTTTGCAGCCATCAAAAGCAGGACGTAGGATGCTGTTTCAATCTGCCTTTTTTTTTTAAATTTCATGTTAAGAATGCATTGTTTAAGAAATGCATGGTGGACAGCTCGGTAGCTATCAGAACGGACGGTCTCATCTTAAATTTCCCATTATAAATGCAGCTACTAAATCTATTTCGGCATTTAACTGATCCCACCTAAAACGCTGCCAGTTTCCATTATATTGTGACCATCGATATAAATTAGCAAAGCTATAAAGCTGAAGGAAGGCTGTTAAAAATCGCACTGAAGTCAACGTTGAGGGTGAAAAGGGGGGGGGGACGACACAGAGCACGGTGTATCTTTCTATACAGAAATAAATCCAATAAAGGCAACCGCTATAAAAATTCCCTACGCGGTCTTATTAAAAAATGTGCTAAGCTAGTGAGATCCCTTCTTTCTTTCTTTTTTCCCACCAATCGTTGTTGAAATTTTCCCTTGCTTCGCAAGCAATTTGTCACGAATTATGGAAATTTCATCTTTGAAGAAAAATATGTTGCATAGCTGCTATTTTGGGCGAGTGGCATTTTAATGCTTAACTGCAGACAGGAATGTAGCCTTCACAGCCACACCAGAAGAAGCAAGCTATTATACACACCACACATGCAATAAAAATTCAAGGAAGGAAGGATGGGATAAATGACTTTCTCCAAAATAACCCTCTGGGTCCTGTCAAGTCTCCCCACCTATTTGTGCAGAGGAAACATATACAGGTCGTCCTCAATTTACAACAGTTCGTTTAGCGACCTTTCCAAGTTACAAGGCACGGGGAAAAAATGGCTTACGACCATTTTTTATCGTTTTAACTGTTGCCACATCAATCCCCAGGGTCACGTGAACAAAATTCAGATGCTTGGAAACTTGTATGTATTTACGACGGTTGCAGGCTCACGTGATCCCCTTTTGGGACATTCTGACAAATAAAGCCAATGGGGGAAGCCAGAACCACTTAACAACCGTGTGACTAATTTAACAACTGCAGTGATTTACTTTAACAAATGTGGAAGGAAAATCGTAAAACAGGGCAAAACTCATTTAACAAAGGTCTCACTTAGCGACAGAATTGTTGGGCTCCACTGAGGTCGTAAGTTGAGGACTACCTGTACTTGGTGGTTTTATTTAAGCTAAGGGGCATAACATGTTTTAAAATCCAGTGGCAAATATAATGCATGGTGAATGTTATGCAGAAGACTTGACGTCAGATAACATTTAAAATGTTTTTATCTTTCAACCATCCAAACAAAAGAATCAGGTACCTAATAACAATAATGTGACGGTACTTACAGGCTTTTGTTGTGGGGCAGTGCTCACTAAAAAATAAAATAAAGAGACAGCCAGAGTCACATTTAGGAATATTCAAGTGTATGTTTAAAAAAATAGCAAACAATGGATATAAGACTCAGCCAGAGACAAATTCCTTGTGTGTCCGATCACACTTGGCCAATAAAGAATTCTATTCTGTCCTGTTCTGTTCTATTCTGTATTTGTATTCTCTATTCTATATCCTATTCTCCCATCTATCCTGTTTGGATCCCAATGTTCCTAGCCAAGCAACAATCCATTCCAAACTCTGTTCTCCTTCCAGAAAAACCTGAGACGTTCAGTCACAGGATGACAACATTATTACAGGCCGAGAGAGATTTCTATATATTGCCCAGGTAGAACTGGAACGTTCAATCCAGCTTCAAACCTGTTCAAAGAATGAACTAGGATGCGCAAATAAAGGTGTTGGGAAATGTTTTGACCTCTCTAACAAAGTTAAATGAATGGAATGGAATGGAATGGAATGGAATGGAATGGAATGGAATGGAATAGAATAGAATAGAATAGAATAGAATAGAATAGAATAGAATAGAATAGAATAGAATAGAATGGAATGGAATGGAATGGAATGGAATGGAATGGAATGGAATGGAATGGAATAGAATAGAATGGAATGGAATGGAATAATGAAGAATAGAATAGAATAGAATAGAATATAGGAATGAAGAACAGAATAGAATGGAATGGAATGGAATAGAATAGAATAGAACAGAAAATATGGAACAGAACGGAACAGAACAGAATAGGAATTCAAATGGAATGGAATAGGGAACAGAACAGAACGGAACAGAGCAGACAACCTTTATTGTCATTTTTTACTGCGGGCACATTGGCACACATTAAAAATGAAATTTTGTTGTTTGCTCTCTCCAAAATGTACACATACATAATACACATTTAAGCATGCTATATACAACATATGTATAAACCTACGCCCTTATGTATAAATAAATATAAATATTAATCGTGTGTGTGTGTGTGTGTGTGTTAAAAGAAATACACTCTTCTTCCTTTCGTATGGCAAAGTGGCTGAAAATTTACACGTTCCCATTAAGCGCCTTTAAAACGTATTATCATTCCCATTAAGCAAAATCGACCCAGGGTTATTACACCATGGCTTGCTGAAAACACGAAATTTTAAACTCTACCTGCGGAGCCAGAGGGAGGAGGGGCTCCTGCTTTCTGCCACTCAGTAGCTTCCGCCGCCATTCTCCGCACGTAGGTGTCATCTACACACATCAAGATGTTTTCTGGTTTGATATCCGTATGAATGATCTTACATTTGCTGTGGAGGTAATCTAAACCCTGCAATACCTGATTACAAAATATTCAGATGGAGAATAAGGGCATTACCATCAAAAACAGCCACGCGGGTCAGGATTCAACAGTTTTAGCACCAACAGGAGTTTATTCCTAGCCTTCCAGATGTTGCTTAACTTCAGCATTACGAATAGGGCGACATTAAAAAAAAAAATTCCCCAAAGTAATATTCTGAAAATCATGAGCCCTGGTGGTTAGAATGCGGTACTGCAGGCCACGTCTACAGTTCGATCCTGACCAGCTCAAGGTTGACTCGGCCTTCCATCCTTCCGAGGTTGGTAAAATGAGGACCCAGATTGTTGGGGGCCATAGGCTGATTCTGTAAACCACTCAGAGAGAGCTGTAAAAGCACTACAAAGCAGTATATAAGTCTAAGTGCTAGTGCTATGCCTGTATTAAATGCTATGTAAGACTGGCTGAGACAAGCACAACGTCATTTCATGTACTGCTACATGTTGTAACATGCAGTTTTTCGGCTATTAAGAATAATGTCAGTAACTAATTGTCTAAACTGGAACTCCTCAAATATTCCTATTTCCAAGTATTAAGATCTCGGTGTTTTATAACTTTACACTCATGAGGAATTCCTGGACAGGTTTCTCCTTAACACCACAAATAGCTGGAAGTAATCCAAAAAAAAAGGGGGGGGACTAAAAACACAATATTTCCACGTTTTGCTGGACCAGACATGTCAAGCTTGCGATGTCACGTGACGTCGCGCAATGTATCGGGACAGTTTTGCCTTTGCCGGCAATGGGATGGGCACAGCTTCCGCGTGACGCATGCGGCCCGCGGGCCGGCAGTTTGACACCCCTGTGCTAGACAATGATATATTAATACCTAAACTGACATATTAAATACCAAAACCTTACCTGTTTTATTATACTTTTTACACAATGGATCGGAAGGCCCTGATAGCTGGACTTAATTATCCATTTTAAAAGGTGATGTCCGAGTACCTCAAAAACCATACAGACATCTGTGTTTCCATTAAGGATAAATGGCAAGGGATTTTTATTGGCGCACAATTGTGTTTACAGAGCCATTACAAAGAGGAATTCTGCTGCAATTGCACGATGGAACGGACTCTTTTGCAAGGTTCTTATATAAAGTAAAGACAAGCGTTAAGATAAATTGCACAGCCCCAGACTGGACCCATCAAGAATAAACATGGGCAGATAAATACGATCATGAGGACCAGTTTGGTGTGGTGGTTAAGGCATCACGCTAGAAACCGGAGACTTGTGAGTTCCAGTCCTGTTTTAGACATACATCCAACTGAGTGACCCTGGGCCAGTCACTCTCCCTCAGCCCTAGGAAGGAGGGAATGGCAAACCACTTTTGAGAAACTTGCCAAGGAAACTGATGGAGTATCCAAGGATCGATCACAATTGAATGGGGGGGGGGAAATACGAGCAGGGTCTACAGATTAACTTTATGAAATAAAATGCTTTAATAAAATAGCGAGAGAAAAAAATAAAAGCTCATAATGTATGCAGATGAGATGGCTGGATGGAGTCACTGAAGCAGTAGGTGTGAATTTAAATGGACTCCAGAAGATGGTAGAGGACAGGAAGACCTGGAGGAATGTTGTCCATGGGGTCGCGATGGGTCGGACACAACTTCGCAATTAACAACAACAACAATGTATGCAGAACATCCCTGTGACACCAACTCATGCGACTGCAAAAGGTATTTTCAGTCTAGTATAAGCCAAAAGAACGTAAATTATTCCTGTAGCAATGACGCCTTGTAAATAATTACAATTATAACAGGGATCTTCAAACTTGGCCCTTTTATGACTGGTGGACTTCAACTCCCAGAATTCCTCAGCCAGCCATGCTGAGGGGAAAGGGAGAGGTTTCCAAGCTGAGCCATGCTGGCTAAGGAATTCTGGGAGTTGAAGTCCACGAGTCATAAAAGGGCCAAGTTTGAAGACCCCTGAATTATAATGAAACATCGATCTGTTATAGAATCAGCTGGTGTTTTATTTAGTGACAGTGTATATGTTTGACTGTCAAAAGTAGACAATATGGAAACAGACCCATTCCCATAGATATAAAAATAGACAAAGGTGCAAATATAAATATTACATTGCATTATACAAATTAAAAGATTACAAAATAAATATTGTATATTGTAATATAACTTGCTAGTTGTATTTACGGCACTCAAGGACATTGAGTTTAGAACAGTTTAGAACATGAAAACCTTTATGTGGTCAGTATTTTAAGAAAGGCTGGCTATTTTGAAAGATAACTCCCGTATAAACCTGAATAATCTGAAATTTAAAGTCTTATTTTCCAAAAATATAAAAAGATAAACCCCGTATAAACCTGAACAATCTGAAATTTAAGTACAAAAGTACTTCCAAAAGTACAAAAATATTCAAATTATTACAAAAGTTATTGACCATATCACCTATTTTTAAAAGTGTAAAAATGCCAATTTTGGAGTTTTATAAGAAAATACAGGTGAGCACTCAAAAAACATATGACTTTCTTTAACCACTGTATGAAATGTCTGAACGATCGCTGAAATATCCTTATACTTTAAAAAATATTTATTTCTTAAAATAATAATAAAGTTGGAAGGGGCCTTGGAGGTCATCTAGTCCAACCCCCTGCTTTCTACAGCATTTCCCACCATAATAATTCATTCTTAGAGAACTGACCCACTAACGTAGCATAATATTCTGAAGGGGATGAACAAGCTCTTCTAATATTGCTTAAAAAGGAAAGGCAGAAAAGATACGTATGCCGTTCAAGCCAGAAATTTTAAAGTCGTCAATTAATTGCACCACCATGTCTTTATTTGGATCGTTAGGGTCACTTTCACGGACCTAAAAACAAAGACGAGAAACATCATGTTACAGTTTAGATTAAGAAGCGGCAACATTTATATTTTAACCACTTATTTTAAAGGCAAGGCAGGTATCATAGTTCCAAAAGAGAAGTCCTAAGCAAGAGGTTTCCTTAAAAAAAACCTATTTATTGGCTACAAAGTACGGGCATGGTCAAAGATGAAACCAAGACCGAAGGCATAACTGTAGGTTATTATGAGAAAGAGGGTATAAATTTGATTTTACACATATTAACTGCGGCAAGAATTGTACTCCCTCAATATTGGAAAAATGAAGATCTACCAGCGAAGGAAGTGTTAATTAAAAAAAATCTTAAAAGTGTGCAGAAATGGATAGATTGACTTTGAAAATGAAAGAGAAAGAAGACTCATTTTATTTTAGAACAGGGGTGTCAAACTCAATTTCACTGAGGGCCGCATCAGCACTGCGGTTGCCCTGGGGGGGGCGGGTGGGTGTGGCTAGAGTGGGTGCAGCCTACTGGATGGGTGTGGATGGAGTCGGTGTGGCCTACTGGGTGGGCGTGCCCAGTTCTACATCATTCGTGTCAAGGGTGCCTGTGGGGGCCTGGGCAGGAGTGGGACAGATCTGAGGGTCTTTGGCAGAAGGGGGTGGGACCGGGGCAAGTGCAAGTGCCAAGATGGCCACCACAAAATTGTACATTGGCTCCCGGCCGGCCTGGGCCAGGGCCAAGGCAATGGGGGCCGTTCCCTCACTGTTTCCAGGATGGCTTCGCGGGCCACATGAAAACACTTCGCGGGCCGCATCCGGCCCCCGGGCCTTGTGTTTGACATGTCTGCTTTAGAACATGGAATACTTTTTATCATTGGCTAGAAAAATGAGGCAGAGAGAAAGGAACTTACTGTGTATTAGTAAAGTAGGCATTGAAACCCAGACAAAGTGTTGCTGACAATATTTTAAGCAGTTGTGATTATAAAAAAACTTAATATATAGCAACCCGCCAAAACCTCAGCAGCAGTGACCTTGGTTCCCACAGGACAATTTATTGTTTTGTCTAACCTTAAAAGCACACATCCTCCCCCCTCCCAACTGTGGCCACCGAAAACAAAGTTGCGGCGTTGACAGTAGGTTTGAACAGGCCTTGTGGTTTTCACTGCCTTCCTGGACTCCTAAAATTAAGTCGTAAAATTACCTACAACTGTAGAAGCGCTTTTCAATTCATCGCTCGAAAGAATGGGACGTTGTCTTGATACTTACACACTTCAGCAATTTTATTTCATCCAAGGCTGTCTCCGTATAATGTTGAGCGCTTTTCACAACTTTCATTGCGACAAACCGTTTCCCCCTTTAAAATAATAGTTAATATATAGAGAGAGATTTATCAATATTATATTCTTTTTTCTATTTAAAGGAAGAAATAGAGAAAACAGAGACACTAAGTACAAGTTCACTACAAATGATAACTAGGCAGGATCCCATTTGGATTGGTCAACCGGGACCAGAGGTTTAATCTTCCAAGCTTTTGGACTCGTGCTGAAGACCAACTTCTGGAAACTTCTCTCTGTCCAGAATGTGTGCTTTGATCTATATTCTATGTGTAATATTTATGTGGTGCCTTCCTATTGGTTGACTGGTCTATTGAGGGCCAGTGATTAGCTGTCGTTTCCTTGTGCTGCCATTGTAACTTCAAAGGGTCACTAAAAGAAGGATTGTAAGTCGAGGACCACCTGTGTTTTCTACGATTTCCCAACACTCAATGACAGCATAAGGAAACAATAGCCAATCACCAGCCATCACCAGACCAATCAACCAATAGGAAGGCACCACAATAAATATTACACATAGAAGTTCCCTGAGAATGGGCTCCAACACAAATCTGAAAGCTCAGAAGTTTTAAGCTTCTGGTCCTGGTCCAATTAGGATCCTGCAACATTATCCCGGAACACGTATATTTGCTTTCATTTGTAACGGTAACAACATTTCAGTAATATTCAGATGACTAAATGACAGTCATAACCTTTTCTTCAATAATTTACCTTTAACTAATGGGATTTAAAGTAACATTTTTAGCAACCAAATCAGAAGTATAATTAGTACAATTAGATTATCTATCTATCTATCTATCTATCTATCTATCTATCTATCTATCTATCTATCTATCTACCTACCTACCTACCTACCTATCTATCTATCTATATCTAATCTATCTATCTATCTATCTATCTATCTATCTATCTATCTATCTATCTATCTACCTATCTATCTATCTATCTAATTATCTATCTATCTATCTATCTATCTATCTATCTATCTATCTATATCTAATCTATCTATCTATCTATCTATCTATCTATCTATCTAATTATCTATCTAATCTATCTATCTATCTATCTATCTATATCTAATCTATCTATCTATCTATCTATCTATCTATCTAATCTATCTAAGCTATCTATCAATCTATCAATCTATCATCTAGCTTATCTATCTATCTATCTATCTATCTATCTATCTATCTATCTATCTATCTATCTAATTTATCTATCTGTATCTATCTATCTAATCTTCTAATCCAGTGGTTCTCCACCTGTGGGTCGGGACCCCTTTTGGGGTCGAATGACCATTTCACGGGGGTTGCCAAACAATGCAGTCCGCCATTTTTTCCCCCTTTTCCTTAGCTGTGCTACTCCCTTTTATTCTATTGGCTTTTGAAAGCCAATAGAATAGACTCTCTTGAATAGAGTCTAATTCTATTGGCTTTCAAAAGCCAATAGGAATTGTCCAGGCTGTCTCTGCCCTGCTGAGCCCGCCAAAAGTCCCATTCTGCAAACGGTGCTGCAAGTTATCTGCAGCGAAGGCGAGCTGTCTGGAACTTTCCACCCCTCCCTGCTGAGCAACTACTAAAAATGTAAGGAAAAGAGGGCCAGGGGTGGGAGGTGGGAGGCCGGCGGGCGCAGGGAGGGTTGCTGGTGCGCGTGGGACCCGGTGGGTGCCTTACCTCCCTTGGGCTGGGCCAGCTGGTGGCCCAGCCGATGGTCGGCTTGCGCCGTCTCTGCCACTTGCCAGCTACGCCTCGGCTGGAGCATGGGGCGGCACCACGCATGCGCAGCGCTCCCGGGCAGGGAAAGTCCTCGACTTACGACCGGTTGGATAGTCCTTGACTTACGACCGGTTGGGTAGTCCTCGACTTATGACTGGTTGGGGGTCGCGGCATTAAAAAGATTGAGAACCACTGTTCTAATCTATCTTATCTATCAATGTATCTTATCTATCTAATCTATCTATCTATCTATCTATCTATCTATCTATCTATCTAATTATCTATCCATCCATCCATCCATCCATCCATCCATCCATCCATCCATCCAATAAAAACAAGATGCAGAGAGAAAGAACATATCTTACTGCATGTCCCAGCATAGCCAGACTGTAGAGAAGTGACCCCATCCTAATTTTCTGATAACGTGATATCGACCATTGAAAAGATCTCCAATTTTCACTGGATGGTAGCCACCTTTCCAAAAAATAAAAGGATATAATTAAGGATATAATTTAATTTGCAGCATTTTACTTACGTATGCATGAAAGGATCTCAATATCGCCAGCTACCTACAGAATTGCAAATGTAAACGTTTGCATAGACCTTTGCTGACTACAATGGAACAATTCTGAGAAGACATGCCTAAGATTGCATTGCTGGATTTAATTTGTTGTTCCAAAAATATCCGGCAACACACTTTAAAGATTTAATTGTTTTCTGAAGCTTCATTGTATCGTAATTGCGAAGACAGTACCTTAGTCTATGAAAATATTTCATCCCTCCACCCCTCCTTCCATCCATCTAGCCCTCCCTCCCTCCTTCCACCCACCCATCCATCCAAATCTCCTTCCACCCATCCATCCATCTATCTAAGCCTCCCTCCCTCCACCCACCCACCCACCCGTCCACCCATCCATCCCTTCCTCCACCCATCCATCCATCCGTCTATCCATCCATCCAACCAACCCTTCCTCCACCCACCTATCCATCCATCCATCCATCTAACCCTCCCTCCTTCCATCCATCCATCCATCCACCCACCCATCCATCCAACCTTCCATCCATCCATCCATCCATCCATCCATCTAACCTTCCATCCATCCATCCAACCCTCCCCCCTCCATCCAAACATCCATCCATCCATCCATCCATCCATCCAACCCTTCTTCCATCCATCCAACCTTCCATCCATCCATCCATCCCTTCCTCCACCCACCTATCCATTCATCCATCCATCTAACCTTCCCTCCCTCTACCCATCCATCCACCCATCCATCCAACCTTCCTTCCATCCATCCATCTAACCTTCCATCCATCCATCCATCCATCCAACCCTCCCTCCCTCCCTCCAACCTTCCATCCATCCACCCATCCAACCCTTCCTCCACCCACCTATCCATCCATCCATCCATTCATCTAACCCTCCCTCCCTCCATCCAACCTTCCATCCATCCATCCATCCACCCATCCATCCATCCAACCCTTCCTCCACCCACCTATCCATTCATCCATTCATCCATCCATCCAACCCTCCCTCCCTCCACCCATCCATCCATCCATCCAACCTTCCATCCATCCATCCATCCAACTTTCCATCCATCCATCCAACCCTCCCTCCCTCCATCCAACCTTCCATCCATCCACCACCCATCCATTCAACCCTCCCTCCACCATCTGTCCATCCAACCTTCCATCCATCCATCCATCCATCCATCCCTCCCTCCACCCATCCGTCCGTCCATCCATCCATCTAACCTTCCTTCCTTCCATCCATCCATCCTTCCAACCCTCCCTCCACCCATCCGTCCGTCCATCCATCCATCTAACCCTCCTCCCTCCCTCCCTCCAGTATATAAAGCTATCCATTTGTCCCATTTTATTGGGTGGTGAACCCAATAAAAATAAGACATTTCATTGACCAACAAAATCAAATAAAACCAAACTGAAGTTCAGTAAAACACAAACCCATTAACCACATGCACACATATCACAGCTCTCGTAGGTAACTCATTTCCAATTGGTCTGTGTTTGTTTCAATGGAAAGTTCCCTGCTTCCCTTCCCTCTACCAAGACTTTATCAATACAACACTTTAATACCAGTATCAAATTCTTGATGTTCTAGACCTCATTTTAGTGAGTTGGATGAAATGGGGGGGGGGGGACTTTGCTTAGATAAAATCCCTTTTTGGTATTTTATGGATCCACAAAATACATAAAACGCTCCCTATGTTACATTACAGTCCTATTCTATACCAGTGCAAATTCTGATTTATCGTTTTAGTATATGCAAATAATATAGGCAAACTCATTCAAATTAAACAAACATTCAGTATTAACAGGATCCCCACCACATTAACTGATTAAAATGAGAGCTTATTTTATTAGATATCCTATCAGCATTTCTCTATCAAAGGCTGTTATATTGTATTAGATCAAAATACATTTTTTTTGGTTATGGCTTACCTTACTTTATACATTCATTCTGGTTTATAAACACAGATTATCGTTCAACACAGTGTGTGAGCACAATAACTGCCATTTATTTTGCAAACCACAATAAAATAAGCCATGGCTTGGCCTGAAAATACTCTCTACGTGTTACACAAGTACTGTTTACTATTAAAACAGAAAAAAATCTTTATTCAACGTCTTCTCTACAAAGTTGCAGTATTAATAAGGACTACCCCACTAGCAGTTGTGTCTCACTTGTAGACCAGCTCAAGTAAATGCAGCTCCCAAAGTTTATACAAAATCATTTCTAAGATTCAGAGTTTGCAACTGCTGCAAAATGAAGACACTCCAATGAGCCTTTGATTCGTTTCAAATCGCACCCAATGACATTTCAAATTATTTCCCAAATTTCAATTATTGGCGTTTGCCAGTACAAAAGTCCTCAGAAATTGAAAATGTTCTCAATTGGTTAGGTAATCTTGGTCCTTCAAATGTCAGTGTAATTCCCATCAGCCTCTTTAGCCTAGCCCAGTGGGCGAGGAATTTGGGGAGATCAGGAATAAGTGGGAGACGTAACTTGATCTAAATTCCCTGATCTAAATTCTCTGTGACAGCCGTGAAGAACACATCTGGATAATTACAATCAAGTTACGAATCATTTATTTTCTAAATCTAAAATACTCCGTTGTCATTTTTTTTTTTTAAGAAAGGCAAATAAGTTAATTCAAAAGCAAACTGGAGGTCACAAACCGTACAGAAAGAAAAAAAAAAAGGGGGGGGGTTATTAGCATCTGAAAAAAAAAACACCTACATGATTAGGCAGAGGAAAAAGCTGTCACTTTTCAATGCTTCTTCAAAACATCTGCCTTTGAAAGTTAGGGATTTCCAGAGTATTTAATTCTTCATTTCTTTTCTTTTTTTTCAAGAGAAACTTCACTAGGGATATAAACTGTCAATTCACCTTACAGTACAGGCTATCAGACCAGTCTCAAGGAGACTACGAAGGGAAGAATTTGTCCAAAAATTTGCACTCCTCACCATCCAGGCAGAGCTGAAGAAGCCTCTGGGATGAGAAGCGAAATGTTTTCAAAAGAAATATAAGGCAGTCCAGTTTCCTCCTGGAAAAAAAAGCACCTTTGCCCAAAATCTGGATCAATCTGCTTATCAAGGAGGATTAATATATGCAAATATGAAAGAAAAACACACTAAAATTCGTGTTGTCATTTGAGAGACTAATTTAGTATTTGCAATCAAAATGCAAGCACACCCTAGGGCAGCGGTTCTCAACCTGTGGGTCGGGACCCCATTTGGCGTCGAACGACCATTTTACAGGGGTCGCCAAACAACGCAGTCCGCCATTTTTTCCCCCTTTTCCTTAGCTGTGCTACTCCCTTTTATTCTATTGGCTTTTAAAAGCCAATAGAATAGACTCTCTTGAATAGAGTCTAATCCTATTGGCTTTCAAAAGCCAATAGGAATTGTCTAGGCTGTCTCTGCTCTGCTGAGCCCGCCAAAAGTCCCATTCTGCAAACGGTGCTGCACCAGTTGAGTAGTCCTCGACTTACGACCGGTTGAGTAGTCCTCAACTTACGACAGGCTGGGGGTCGCGGCATTAAAAAGGTTGAGAACCACTTCACTAGGGCATTCGGAAAATCTACTTAAATAGATAAGTAAAGCTGGCTGGGCTTTATTTTTATTTTTAACCCATTCAACCATTTTTAAAAATCTGCACCCACTAATAATTAATCTTTCCTTATGTACATACAGAATTTTCACGCGCTGTTCTTACGTAATACTATCTTAGCGGCAATGAAAAAAAAATCAGCCAACGTCATTTTAACAAGTCTATATTCTGAATGGCAAAAAGAAAAACCAAGGTAAAAAAAAATGTGACATTCGGCATCAATTCTATCGCTCTTTTAAAAAGAGCTGTTCTGTAACAAGAAGGCCACAAAGCCAAGAGTGAAAATGTTTCACGTGATGGAGGGCTGTCTGGCTTGGAAAAGAAAGAAGTAGAAATACAGAGATGATTCCTTTCAAAAGTACCTCTTGAATGTGCTATTATTTTAAGCTGGCAAATGGGGGGGAAAATTCCTGCCTTTGTTAGCTCAATGAATAGGAGACATCGCCAGAGTCTAGAATTAAAAAAAGAGCTAAAGAAAAGAAAAAACGTCTAGTCCACCAAGGAAAAGACACGTGGACCTGTGGCACACAAACTCTACAGGAGTTTCCAACTGTTCTAGGCACATCTGGACTGCTCTTTATTTACTGACTGTTCTGGGCACATCTGGACAGCTATTTACTTACTTATTTACTTACTTAATTGGTAAAGGAGACTATCTGTAATCAGGGTTTGTATGGTGGGGTCCTTGGTGCTTGCTAATCTTGATGGTTTTCTTGAAGACCTTTCATTATCCAAACTAGGTAACATCATCCGTGCTAGAGCAAGGAGTGAGGTTTGCTCTCAATTTAATTTTCTACTGCAGGGGTCCCCAATCCCCGATCCATGGACCAGTACTGGGCCGCGGCATGCCAGCAACCGGTCCACATAAACAAGCAAAGCCCCATCTGCACACAAAACCACGTCCCCTCCCCTCCGGTCCGTGGGAAAACCTCTCTCCACGGAACCGGTCCCTGGTGCCCAGAAGGTTGGGGACCACTGCCCTAGTTCAGGGGTCTCCAACCCCCCCAGTCTGTGGACCAGTACCGGGTCACAGCAGGCCAGCAACCGGTCCGCACAAACAAGCAAATCCCCATCTGCACACAAAACCACATCCCCCCCTCCGGTCCGTGGGAAAACCTCTCTCCACGGAACCGGTCCCTGGTGCCCAAAAGGTTGGGGACCACTGCCCTAGTTCAGGGGTCCCCAACCCCTCAGTCTGTGGACCAGTACCAGGTCGCGGCAGGCCAGCAACCGGTCCACACAAGCAAGCAAAGGCCCATCTGCACACAAAACCACATACCCCCCCCCCTCCGGCCTGCGGAAAAACCTCTCTCCACGGAACCGATCCCTGATGCCCAAAAGGTTTGGGACTCCTGCCCTACTTCAGGGGTCCCCAACCCCCCCGGTCTGTGGACAAGTACCGGGCCGCGGCAGGCCAGCAACCGGTCCACACAAACAAGCAAAGCCCCATCTGCACACAAAACCACGTGTCCCCCCCCCGGTCCGCGGGAAAACCTCTCTCCACGGAACCAGTCCCTGGTGTCCAAAAGATTGGGGACCTGCCAGCAACCAGTCCACACAACCAAGCAAAGCCCCATCTGCACACAAAACCACGTCCCCTCCCCTCCGGTCCGTGGGAAAACCTCTCTCCACGGAACCGGTCCCTGGTGCCCAGAAGGTTGGGGACCACTGCCCTAGTTCAGGGGTCTCCAACCCCTCAGTCTGTGGACCAGTACCGGGTCGCGGCAGGCCAGCAACTGGTCCACACAAGCAAGCAAAGGCCCATCTGCACACAAAACCACGTACCCCCCCCCTCTGGCCCGCGGAAAAACCTCTCTCCACGGAACCGGCCCCTGATGCCCAAAAGGTTGGGGATCACTGCCCTAGTTCAGGGGTCCCCAACCCCCCCGGTCTGTGGACAAGTACCGGGCCGCGGCAGGCCAGCAACCGGTCCACACAAGCAAGCAAAGGCCCATCTGCACACAAAACCACGTACCCCCCCCCCTCCGGTCTGCGGGAAAACCTCTCTCCACAGAACCGGTCCCTGGTGCCCAAAAGGTTGGGGACCTCTGTTCTAGTGGACTGCCTAGTTTGGTAATGAAACATTGGCAGGAAAGCAACCCATTTCAGAGAGCACCAAGGACCATTAATTAATTAATTAATTAATTAATTTCATTCAGAGACTACCCATTTCACTCACAGAATGACTCTGGGTTGAATACAATGAAAAAATATTGCTTCCTCTTTCCCCCATCTAATTTGGAAATCAAGAGAAAGCAGGGACTCAGAACCGCTGGCCGAGGTTCTTCAAACTACCCTTCGCTGGGATTAATCAAATGAGAGAGGTTTTTTTTTTAAATACTCATCGCCTACCTATTAAAAATCATTTAATGAATCGGTGTCACTAACGAGCCAAAATTCTGCAATCCAAAACTGGAATCAGACGTTATATACATATGAACCCACAAGCGCTACTGTTGAGAAATAGTTAAAAGTATATGTATAGTGGTACCTCGGTACTCGTTGTTAATTGATTCCGGGAGCCACAATGAGTACCAAAAACGATGAGTACCAAACAAATGTTTCCCATAAGGCATAATATAGTAAGTCACAAGGCAGCTGACATGGACAAATTCTAGCTTGTGGGTTGAGTGCCGAACAAATGATGAGCAACGGGACAAATGTTTCACGTCAAAATCCATTGAATACCAAATTCGATGAATTCCAATGTACCACTGTATAAGAAGACTATACGCTATTTCAACTATAACATGGGAAGGTGTTATGGTGCTGAATCTCAACCATTCATGCTTCCTTGTTAGGTTAAAGGGTTTGTTGGTTTCAGTGCCAAGACATACAATAAAGCAGGGGTCCCCGACCCCCGAGTCCCTGGACCAGTACCGGGTCACGGCATGGCAGCAACAGGGCCACACAAACAAGGAAAGCCCCATCCGCGGGATGCAGGCAGCACGCAAAACCACTCCCCCCCTTCGGTCCGCGGAAGGTAGATTCAATTGATAACAGGAAATATTTCAGTGGTGGCGAACCTATGGCACGCGTGCCAGAGGCGGGCACATGTGCCGTTGCCCCAGCCTTGCTTCCCCGTGACCCCCTCCTCTCTAGCAGCCCCCCTGAAGGAGAGTCGCCCCCGAGCGTGGCCCACGCGGAGCAGCGCAGCCAAGGACATGACAGCCAGGTAGAGTAGACAAGACTCTGCCCTCCCACCCCATCACGCAGTTGACGCTGCAGGGCACAGGCAGAGAGTGTGACCACCATAGTGCTGCTGGGCTGCCTGGGCGATCTGCGGCGGGCCCTGGAGGCGGTGAGTGGTCCTGTGGGCAGGCGGGGCAGGGGATGGGGGGCAGAATGGGGGCGGGCAGGGAGGGTGGAGCAGGGGCACGACCAGTTTTTGGACACTCGGTCTCTAAAAGGTTTGCCATCACTGATGTGTCCTTAATAGTATTAAAAACATGAATCCCGGGTATACACATAATGTGAAGTAAAGTAAGGTGATCACCAAGATAAAATCATAAACACAAATGTTTAATCTACAAAACCAAGCTTTCGTCGGCCACACTACCGACATCGTCAGGGTATAAAATGCTGGATCCGGGAGTCCGTTTTTATGTGGCTGGCTGCCTCTGCGCTTTGACCCTGGATAGGCAAAGCATAGGCAAGCATCCAGTTGTCCTGACGGTACTTTTCCAAAAAGCAAGTGGACTTTCTTGTTTTTTTCCTCGAACTTTTCGCTCCTCATCCCAGAAGCTTCTTTGATTCTGACTGGTTTTCAACGGGGAAAAAAAAGAAAAACAAAAAAACCCCAAAAAAGCCTTTGGAAAAAGCATCTTTGGGACAGCCGTGACCTGGATGGATTGATGATCTCCACAGGCATCCAAGCATCCTGTTCTAATCATTAATCTCGTTATTTTTAACCAACTTACCTTTGCAATAATCTGCAGGATCTTCCTGTTCCTCATCATCGGATCCTAGAATTTCTTCCTCTGGTTCCGGCGGGGTCGGTTCTGGCAACGGTGGTGGTGGAGGAGGAGGTGGCGGCGGTGCGGAGGGAACTTTTTGTGGAGGCTCTGGCCTACAAATAAAATATATGGATATGTATATATATATTTGTCCTTGATTATGCTAAAACTACAAATCCTGGGTATACTCATTCTTGAAAAAAACAATTGAACACCAGGATAAAATACAAACAAAACTGTTTAATACACTTAGCTTTCGTCGGCTAGCTGCCGATGTCATCAGAGTAAAATGCTGGCCTTTTGGGAGCTTGCTTATGAGATTCCCAGGTCTAGGAACACACGGACTGATGTGGGACACCTAGACACAATATGGCCAATTGGGGCAGGTAAACCAGTAACTCGCTCCATGAGCAGAGCGCAAAAATGGCTGGCTTCATAAGCAAGCTCCCAAAAGGCCAGCATTTTACTCTGACGATGTCGGCAGCTAGCCGACGAAAGCTAAGTGTATAAAACAGTTTTGTTCTGCAGTCATACTTTTTACAATCTCTATATACATGTTCAGAAAGTAAAACTCTGGAGCAAATTTCCAAGAGCTTCCTCTTTCCCTGGCTTTTAATTCAAACATTCCTTCAGAAAGATGACAATTTATTCCGCGCGGGCTACAGAAATGAATCTGAAAAATGTTACAGGACATGGCAGGGATTTTTATGTAGGATTTAAAGTGCAGGCGCGGACCCATAAAATCAGATTAAAAGACAGGAGGAAAGCCACTAGCTCTGTTCCCCAACCTGGTCAGTATAAACTACCGTCATTTGAATAAAATGGTACTATCCAGATCCAAATTGGGTCAGTCACTGGGACCGAAGGTTTCGGTCTTCCGAGCTTACAGACTCGTGCTGGAGCCGGTCCTCAGGGAACTTGTCTCTCACTAGAATGTGTGCGGCTCTGGATGTGGTATTTATAGTGCCTGTTGTATGTGGCTTTCTAGATATTATTAGGGTGTGTTGGTGGCTGGCTATGAAGTCATTGGATGTTTCTTTGTTTGTGCTGCCCAGTCCTCACTTCTTAAGGACTTGATAGACTGGGGGTAAATCAGCATTCCCGCTCACTGGAGAGGGGCCCGTTTCCCAGGCTTCAATCCCTGAGCAGGCTGTTTTTGTGCCTGCTCATCCGACAATCGTAGTAGTGGCAAAACTGAATCTAGCCCACACTCTGCTAGAGAGGAAAAGGCTGAGGATGGGTTCCAGCATGGAAGGCAAAACCCAGATTGGATCCTGCAACATTATCTCGGGACACGTATGTTCACCTCTGTTCGTAAAAACGGTACTTCTTTCAAGATGTGACACTTTTTTAAAAAAACTTTGCTCACAGCAGCAAAAGGACCGCAACTTCGCTGACAGGTAGCCCTCGACTAACAAGCACAGCTGAGACCAGGTTTTCTGTTGCTAAGCAAGACTGTTGTTCGGCGAATCGGGCCTAGTTTTATAGCGTTTTTTTCTGATGCGGTTGTTAAGTGAATCACTGTTCTTGAGGGAACCCTGCAATCGTTAAGTAAATGTGCCCTCCCCCCCCCCAAGGACTCTGCTTGAGGTTGTATCAAATGGCAATCCCATGACCCCGGGATGCTGCAACTGTTGTAAATATATGGGGGTTGCCAAGCACCCAAATTTTGATCACATGATCATCGGGATGCTGTGACAGCTGTAAGTATGAGGAATGGTGCATAAGCAGTGGTGGGATTCAGCCGGTTCGCACCACTTCGGCCAAACCGGTAGCTAATTTTTTTGTTGCTCAGGCCCAGAACGGATTTCCAGAAGCGGCATCCACGCAGAGAACCGGTTGTTCACTTATTTGAATCCCACCACTAGATGGATGGATGGTTGGATCGATGGATGGATGGATGATAGATAAGAGATAGACAGACAGACATAGATATAGATAGACAGAAAGATAGATAGACAGACAGACAGACAGACAAACAGAGATATAGATAGGCAGACAGAGATATAGATAGACAGAGAGACATATGCAGACAGTGATATAGGTAGGTAGGTAGGTAGGTAGGTAGGTAGGTAGGTAGGTAGGTAGGGTGGTGGGATTCAGCCGGTTCGTACCACTTTGGCAGAACCGGTAGCTAATTTTTTTTGTTGCCCAGGCCCAGAATGGACTTCTGGAAGCAGTATCCACACAGAGATAGGTGTTCATCTATTTGAATCACTAAACGAATGGCTGCAAGTTGAGGACTGCCTGTATAAAAAAATTGAAATTTCTATAACTCAAGTTTGCGTCTCTCTCTCTCTCTCTCTCTCTCTCTCTCTCTCTGTGTGTGTGTGTGTGTGTGTGTGTGTGTGTGTGTGTTTATTAGAATGAAATAAAACTAATTATTTTATTTTCTGTGCCCCATGCTCTAATATGATTCTACCGCTTATCTCTCACGTACCAAAACCATGTCTGATTTCCGATATTATGATACAGCCGATTTCAACAGGCTTTGAGATCCAGAGTTAGCTTAACTTGTTCCTTAACTTAATTCTTTCCTCAAAATAAGGAAATCTTCAAAATAAGAAACTCCGTTGCAAATAATTAAATATAGGTAGCCCACGACTGACGACCACAATTGAGCCGCAACATTTATGTTTCTAAGTGAGCCATTTGTTAAGGGAGTTTTGCCCCCACTTTATGACCTTTCTTGCCACAGTTGTTAAGTGAATCACCGCAGTGGTTCAGTTGGTCACACGGTTGTGAAGCGAGTCTGACTTTTCTTGACGCCGTTCTTAAGTGAATCACTGCAGTTATTAAGTTAGCGAATCTGGTTTTCCCGTTGACTTTGCTTGTCAAAAGGCTGCAAAAGCTGATCCCGTGAGCCCGGGACGTTGCGACCGTCATAAATACGAGTCAGTGGACAAGGGTCTGAATTTTGATCACGTGACGGTGGGGAAGGCTGCAGTGGCCGTGTGAAAAACAGTGCTGTTGTTACTTTGAACAGTCACTAAACAGACTGCTGTAAGTCGAGGAGTACTTACAGTAGTGGCCAAAATTGTGGAAGCCTTTTGGCAAAAGTGTATTTTTGAGGTCTGATGGCTAATAACACCACTTTTGGGGGGGAGTAGTACCATAAGATTATACATCAATGGAAAGATAATTTAATCAAGAATGCAATGCAACAAAGTTTGTTCAATTATCTGTGCTGTATTCTGTGAAAAGTTATAGCCAAATAACCAGAAAAAGGAAGCACAACTTGCTCAGGTGGATCTCCGGTAGCTTTCCTTCCTCTGATTGTAGCCAATGAGCGCGAGTGTTTAGAGAGCCAATCGAGTGTCATCTTGTTTTGGCCATGAGCTACTCAGATCATAGTAGGATTCAGTGATTGATGTCCTGTATTGAAGCCGAGAGGAGGACATTGGTCAGCGTGTTATGTGATGGCTATCGAGTTGGTGGGTTTTTTTGTTTTCTTCCATTGTAAAACATAATAAAATTAAAGTCATGGTGCAAAGAGTTGACTGGTCGCCCAGAAAGCGATGTAAAATAGTACCGTATTTTCCGGTATATAAGACGACTTTCTAAAGCATGCAAATCGGCTCCGAAGTCGGGGGTCGTCTTATACGCCGAGTCGTCTTATACGCCGGAAAATACGGTATTATTAAGTGAACAAGGCTACAGTTATAAAGAAATTGGAAGAAAAATGGGTGGAAACTTAACCAAAGTTGGCATTTCTAGGGTACACTTTTCCCAAAAGGTTTCCACAATTTTGGCCACTGCTGTAGACGAACAAAACTTGGTGAGGGTTGCCATAAGCAACTGTATCACGCTAACCTTTCATCTAATTGTGTTAACCAAGCAATATCAGCTTAGCTATTTTGATTAGGTAATTCCTTGAAAGGGATCTCATCAGGTTGATCAGGTAGAATAAACACCAAATAGAGCAACGGACTACGTATTTTGGGAACTCAATCAACCCTAGACATCCCAAGCAATCATTATAGAATATATATATATAGTCCTACAATCATGCAAGCCTATCAATTCCACTGCCCTGTTTGGTGTTTATTCTACATCAGTGGTTCTCAACCTTTTTAATGCCGCGGCCCCCCAACCGGTCGTAAGTCGAGGACTACTCAACTGGTGCAGCACCGTTTGCAGAATGGGACTTTTGGCGGGCTCAGCAGGGCAGAGACAGCCTGGACAATTCCTATTGGCTTTGGAAAGCCTAGACTCTATTCAAGAGAGTCTATTCTATTGGCTTTCAAAAGCCAATAGAATAAAAGGGAGTAGCACAGTTAAGGAAAAGGGGGGAAAAAATGGCAGACTACGTTGTTTGGCGACCCCCGTGAAATGGTCATTCGACCCCAAATGGGGTCCCGACCCACAGGTTGAGAACCACTGGTCTACATGATAAATCTGATGAAAGACCAACTAATATTAAAGGGGCATACAAAGAGCCTTTGATTAGCAACCCCAACTTGGTTGTTAAGACAACTTGGTTCTTAAGCAAAGTAGCTGCTAAGAGAAGCTGCAACTGTGCTGATGATCTTACTTCAGCTTTCCTTTGCCTGTAGTTACACGTCTTCATTGAGATTTAAACCATGAACGAACCAACGAAGCCACAGGATAAAAGTGATCAATGAAAGCCACAAAAGAATACAGCACTGTGAAGGTTAACTTGATCAAGGCTCACTTCACTGATCTGAGTTCTGATCATGCTTGTATACCTGCTTCCAATAATTTGAACCTTGGACTGCAACCCCTGATGTAATGTCTGATGTAAGTGGCCCCTTTGACTCCCCCCCCCATAGTTTTGACTCAGGATAGAACATTCTCCTTTCTACTTGTAGCAGAAAATGGAATGGAATAGAAGTAGAGTAGAGTAGAAGCAGAGTACAAGGGGGATGGGGATGGGGATGGGGATGGGGATGGGGATGGGATGGAATGGAATGGAATGGAATGGAATGGAATGGAATGGAATAGAATAGAATAGAATAGAATAGAATAGAATAGAGTAGAGTAGAGTAGAGTAGAGTAGAGTAGAGTAGAGTAGAGTAGAATAGAATAGAATAGAATAGAACAGAATAGGATTTAGAATAGGATTTAGAACAGTATTTAGAATAGAATAGAA